GGGTGTGGGGTGTGGGTGTGGGTGGGTGTGGGGTGTGGGTGTGTGGGTGTGGGTGTGGGTGTGGGTGTGGGGTGTGGGTGTGGATGTGGGTGTGGGTGTGGGCGTGAGTGTGAGTGTTGAAGGAATTTGGACGTAGATGAGAGCGAAGGCATCGCTGGGTTTTTGGTGCTTTTCTCGCCCATACCCACCCACACATCCATCCACACCCACACCCACCCCAACCCACACCCACATCCACATCCACCCACACCCCACCCGCATGAAAACCATTTCTGTGCAAAAAAGTCCCATCTTCATCTGTTCATGCGAAAGTGTCCCACTGTGTGTGAGGTGTCCGAAGGTCTTTAGAATGATTTAAGAGTATATAGCCGATGCGCCTCTTATTTCTATCTGTGATGATCTTCAGAATTATTTCATAGCATATAGCCTATAAATATCTTAGTTTCATTGTGAGAGGCCCTCAGATGTATTACAGAGTATATAGACTATACACCTCTTATTTTCTGCATAGGAATCTCTTTGAGGGACTTAGAGTTATTTGGTATGATATACCCTCTGCATCACTTATTTTCGGCAGTGAAAGATATTCAGGAGTCTTTAGAATTGTTTCACACTTTAGAGTAGATATGTTGTCAATTATAATATAATTTTAAAGATCTCAAAAGACTTCTTTCTGCTCAAAATTAGAGATTTATAGAATATATTCAATGCAATAATTATAAAGACTTCCAAAGAATAGTCATTGCTCAAAATTATAGGTACATAGATCATATACTATGAAATAATTTTGAAGGTCGGCAAAGAATTTCGAAAACTCCCACAGACGGCTATTGAGCCTCAAAGCTCCCTTTCGCATTGATAAAAATAAGTGGTGTATATGGTAAATACTATGAGATAATTCTAAAGATCCTCTTCCTGACCATATTGAAGAGATTGATGGTCCTTGTTTTATTTTATAGACATCCATTGTGGATAAAAGGAAGACGTTTTTTGTTTGCCAAACTTAGGGTTTTAAATTAAAAAGACTATAGATTCTCATGTTACCAAAATTGTAAGGAAAATAAGCTCGACACTGGGTGAACTGGAATTTGGGAGTTCAGTTTTCTGTTGTTTACAGTTTACCAATCAATTGCAGTCCATGCTTTATGGTGTACAATAGTAGGAGTCCATCACTTGTAATTCCAGTTCACTGAAATCAAGTAATTGTTAAAAATTTAATAATAATTAATTAGCACTCAACTAATTCGAACTCAATTTATTAAGACTCAGTCAATGAGTACACTACTAATACATTGAGTTATATTTAGTTGAGTATTCATTGATTAAGTACTAACTAATTAATTATTAAACATTTAGAAATTACATAACGTTAGCAATCTATGACCACAGGCAAAAGGATGTTACTGTTATGAATCATAAAACATAATCTGCAATTGATCGATAAAATACGATTAAAAAGTGAAGTCGAAGTTTGAAGTTTACACGCTGAATTCATTTTTCTAAACCTACCCAAATGCAATTTTGTAGCTTTTATTTTGGTGTGAAATTCTATATGAATTGTCATCAAATTTAAGCTTATACTAAGATTTTGAAATGATCAGAAATATTGATCTGCCGAAATAGATTCTTGTGTTGATGTGTTTTGCTGTATTCCATTTTTCATTCAGGGCTTGAGAGTCGTACTAAAGGAAACTGATGATCAATGAAAATCTTGATCTCGACACTGAAGCTCATCAAGCCTATCTGAACGAATTTTTTCAACTCGCAACGGAACCCATCGAAACTAACATTCTTCATTTGAGCGGGTATTTTGCTTATAGATGGACCTGATAGTATATATAAAAATTCTAAAAGGATTCATGTCATTAGGCCTTTCTTCTTGAGTTATGATCATTTTACTGAATTTTCAAGATATTACGAAAAAAATTGCAACAGAAAATTTGCGCCTGAAATTTTCCCCAACAACAGATTCCATGGTCTTTATGATATCCTGAAAGTTTCAGCTCAAACAGATATTTTTCTTTCGAGATAACACATTTACAAAAAAACATTACTTTCTTAGAAAAACTCCGAAAATAGCCCATTTTTTATACATCTTATATCTTAAGAAGAAATCATCCGTTTGAACTGAAACTTTCAGCATATCATAAGAACCATGAGATCTGTTGTTGGTCATGTATCGAAAATGTTGAACCTGAAAGTCTCTATACAATGCATATTAAAAGTTATTTTTCATTTTTCTAAAGGAAAGTTTCTTCAAAGCTATAATGAGATTTCTCAATATATGGATTATGGAATTTGTTTCTAAGAATCAATGTGGATTACAAAATGTGACTTTCGCCATTATTCATTTGATATATTCTGTTGAGCTACTGTTTGGCAGGGGTGGAACCGGTTGAGAAATATTAAAACGGTCCGGTCCGGCCGGTTGAAAAATCCTACTGGTCCGATCCGGCCGGTTG